TATTATTATTATTATCCTCCACTATTATTATTATTATTATTATTATTATCTTCGCGCTCCTCTACCTCTATTATTATTATTTATTATTATCTTCGCGCTCCTCTACCAATATTATTATTAATATTTAATATTATTATCTTCGTAGCTCCCCCACCGTTTTCACTATTATTATTATTATTATTATTATTATTATTATTATATTATTACATTTACTCGTTCCTTCACCAATCCTACTTTAAATTTATTGCTATTTCTGTTACTATTAATGTTATTATATTTAGAATTATTGAGATTATATTCGCACACTTCACTAATGGATGGGGCTATTTCAATTCCAGGTGTAAAGAATAAAATTTTTGAATCTTCGTACAACCGATTATCAAAATCGTTTAAATCTCTATCTGCCGTTGTACGATTTTTATCATCTCCATCAATTCCGAAATAATTTCTTTTTCAATCATATCTTCCTTTATAACCCCATTATTATTTATACATATTTCCTTTAGCTCCGAACACGCATATAGTTGATCCTCTAAATCTTCCTCCTTGTACTATTATCCGCTTTTAATATTAATATATTATTATCCGATTCTCCATTATCACCCAACCAGCTTCTATATTATTACCTACTCTTATATTATTACCCACTTCTCCTATTTCTATATTAAATTAATAAAACAAATATCGAGTTTACCTTAAAATAACAGTGAGCAAGCTAGATGCCAAGTTCAAATTAAATAGCAAGAGGAAGAATTAGCTGAAAAAACTAGGTGCCAAGTCTGAAAAGCAGGAATGGAGAAGCAGCATCAACACTATGAAGTCAATATTCAGCAGAGTTTTTTTTTTTGTCATTTTCTTATTTCCATATTTTAAATTAATCTTGTGTGACTGTAGATATATCTTTTTTTAATAACTTAATTAACAATGTCATACATTTAGTCACGACGTAACCATCATGCCAAGTGACAATATATAACTCTTAGCGAACACGATTCTGAGAAGTAAATAACAAAAAACTTACCTTATTGACAATCGCGATGCTGATTTTGAGGGGAAAAAGTTTCTACAAACATAATTTTGAGAGAAGGTAAGTATTATTTAAAAAATAAAATAATAAATAACAAAAATTTACCTTTATAGACATTTGCGATGCCGATTTTGAGGAGAGAAGGTTCCTATAAACACAATTTTGAGAGAAGATAAGCATTATTTAAAAAACTCCACCTTATAAATATCTGCGAACATAATTTCTAAGTGTTATACATATTAAAAATTAAGATTTTTTACACATGACAAAAATATTGAAATTAATTATAGATTATTACAACATAATTACAGCATTGCGACATAATTACGGCATTGTGACATAATTACGGCATTACGGCATAATTACGGCATTACGGCAGAATTACGGCATTACGGAAAATAATTGCAACTAGGTATTGAGTTGCAACTAATTGCAACTTTTGAAAATAATTATGGCAGGTATCTTTAATTACAGGTAAGTATAGAGGTCCAGCCCATAGTATTTGTAACCTCCAACTACGAATCAAACCAGAGCAGTTTAAATTACCGATTCGTTTCCATAATTTAGGT